CTGACATAATCCATGACAATGAGGTGATCCCACTTCCGCTTTACGACGCGACGAACTCGCGGAACGGGGATCTTCGTCTTTGCGAACACGAGTGTAAGGGCATTTGCTTCCGACGCATCAGCAGCATCTTCATCGAGGTCCTGCGATGCTTTCGCCACTGTGCGTGGCGTTATCTGGAAGATATCAGAACTTGAATGAAGTTTCGATGCCGTTTGCGTGAGCTCGAGAATCTGGTTGTCACTCAGTTCGTCTACATCTGAAGGCTATGATGGCTAAGGTAGAGACTCACGCATGCTAATGGAATTCACTCACGAGTAAATACGGATTGGGCCTGCTGTTTGAAGCAACAACGGACAAGATCGTGTCCAAGGCGTCGGCCGCGATGCATAACAATAAGTATACCAGCCACTTGCACACTTCTCCAGGTGTCTCCATGGCCTGGCTTTGTCTGTGTTGAACTTGTATAAGAGTCCGAAGCCAAAGCCGATGTTGCGGAGACCTGTACATTGATTGGCAATGGTTGCTCATAGTGGCTTATTTTTCGACAGCTACGGGAGCCTACGGGCTTATTATTATTGATCTGCAATCATGTCTTTGTGTCTTGTACTGATCTCGATACCGTTGCTCCCTCGGATTTATCAAGCGTCGCCATGTCTGAATACTCTTTCTGCACCCTTGCCAACCGCTATCACCCTCTCAAGACAAGCTTTCGATTGACACCACCTTCAATCAGGTCCTGACGGAGGAGAAATCTCGTCGGGAATCTAACATGCAAGTCGCGCTGCTAGCAAAGACCGGTAAGATGAAGTCGAAGTCAAACTGCAAGAACAATGTGAAAAAGAGTGCCAGATGCACGTACACTGCGTGCAAGAAGAAGGGGCATATGGAAGACAAGTGCCGCAAAAAGAATGCGGATCTCGCGAGTCGCAAAGCCAGACATAGGACAACACCAGTGACCAAACTGCAAAGGTTGCGACGGCCATGCCTGTACGCCATGAAGACGACGAGAAGCTTCACTTATTCCTCGCTGAACCTCTCCCAAAGTGCACATTATGTCTCCGGACACAGTGGATCATCGATTCCGGCGCATCGACTCCCATGTGCTCTCAATGCGACTGGTTCATTCATACTAAAGGCTCGCTACACCGGTATGGGTCTGGCTCGGAGATGCACAGTGCATCAAGAAGACTTCAGTTTGGGCAATTGGACACTCAGCTGGAACTTTGGTGCTGCGATGGACCTGAAAACCGAAGAAGGCGCACTTTGTTTCTATGAGAGAGGGAAGGAAGGTGATCTACGTCATGGATGTCACGCGAGGGATGGCAACCTGCGTTGACTGCCCTTATGTCAACGTCACGATGTTCAAGCCTGCTGGTGACAACCGAGCAGTCTTCATAGGGCAGAAACGAGACAACTCGGCAAACATCATCCTTGCACCTTGAGAGGCTCAAATGAGCAATCAGAGCTGTCGTACAAGGAATTAAAGAACAGCTCCGTGATACTCGATGATGTGAAGGCTTCGATCTCGTATGCACAGCCTATCACTTTTGGGAACGACGCAGGAAAGGCATTGTACATGATATATTATTCCGCAACGAATGTGAATCACATGGGTCCAAAACGCGAGAACATCTACCATGAACGGGGGATCGAGTCCGTGTAATGGCAGCACATGTAGAGCCTTTTATGTAAAGAGGTACAGTGAACGTCGACGAGCGAGGATCAGTGT